CTTTCAGGACGGTCGTACGACCGTCGAAGACATGCCGCGTTCTGGACGACCTTCGGCCTCTACCACCGACGAAAACATTGAAAAGGCAAAGGAAATCGTGTTCCAAAATCCTCATGTGAGTGTTAGAGAGATAGCACGAGAGCTAGGCATCGGTCGTGAGAGCTATCCGCCGTAAACGGCCTCAATTGTGGAAGGATAATTCATGGATTTTTCATGACGATAATGCTCCCTCGCACCGAGCCAACATTATCAACGATTTTAAGGCCAAACATTCAATAAATACCATCGAACAGCCACCGTATTCACCTGATCTTGCACCGTGTGATTTTTTCCTGTTTCCCAAACTCAAATTACCACTCAGAGGAACGCGTTTTGAATCCATAGAAGACGTAAAACAGAATTCGCAGAGGGAACTCAAAGCCATTCCGGAAAGCGCCTATAAAAAATGTTTTGATGATTGGAAGAAACGTTGGCATTTGTGTATCGCTTCTAATGGAGCATATTTTGAAGGAGATAAAATAAATATTGATGAAGATTAAGAATTTTGCGTTTGTACATTGTGACCGGAAACTTTTCGGTCACAATGTATTTCTGGTTAATTACGCTTTACATCCACACTAGGTTCATATAAACGTTGTACACTGGATCTATTGTGGTGACTGTAAGTATTTTGAACTTCTTATTTTATTAAGAAAGTGAACTGGCTTCTTACGTTGAAATCTTTTGTAGTCTGTTTCTAGATTTGTTGTTTTATTAAGGAAGTAAACTAGCTTCTCAAACCTTTGTAGTCCGTTCTGCTTTTTCATGGTTCCCAATCATGCTGGGTTTGTAAGAAAGTTGTATACTGGATCTATTGTAAACGCTTGTAAACGCCTTGGTCTTGTTATTTTTGAAAGAAAGCGAAATAGTTATTTGTAATCAATTTATGCTAGTTCACGCTTTCCAAATACCAATTGCTAAGTGTGAAATCAGGCTAAGCGTCTGGTGTTAGTTGAACTCTGCGACCTCCTTTTATATAAACATCATTGGTTTCATATTTTATGAAGAAAGTTGACTAACTTCAGAACATAAATTCTATTATAGTGTGTTTTCGAAAGTTTATGCTTCCCAATCGAAAATTGCGGAACCCGGCATAGATTTTCATCTTTAGAAGTTTACTCACATTCGTGAATTTAATAATTTGCTATATTTTTGTATTTTAAATTTGATAAAAAAATACATTTGTTGACTTACTATTAAGAGATTAAGAGCTCTTCTCTAGATTTAGTTCTGGACTTTGTTCACAAAGCTTTTAAAGGCCTCGTGTAATTGGTACAATAGGACTCTTCTGGCCGTAGCACCAGCTATGGCCAGAAGAATTGAGGACGATTTCACCTCAAAGTTTTAATAATAATAAAATGCTTTTTATTCATCACTTGTAAAAATATTTATATTTCTTAAAAACGTCATATATGAAATTCATCATTGATAAGTGAAGATTGATGTAGCTGCATAGCATCAGTTCAAAATGCTTCTTCATATATAGTATATGCTCATATACTATATATACTATATTTTAAAAGTTTCCATTGCCAACAAAATAGAAAAAGTATAAAGATAAGTAAAGCAGTGGTGGCAATGACCCCAAATTAATTTGTAATAGCACAGCCACAAAATTTAGTTTTTATCGCTTTATTACCACAAATTATTTACATTGCGACATTTTGTTCCGTCTCTCGAAGAACTTGGTTCGGTTGTAAAACTTCTAACCAATTTATTCTAATGACTTATTTCAGTTGGCAACGTTGACAATATGAACGCCCTCAGAGTTGAGTTTTTAGTAATATTTGAAGAGATAAGAGTAGTAAAACTGTGGTAAATTATGTATAATGTGCAACCAACGCTTCAGAACACTAAATCCTTTTTTCGTTTTGTTCATAGCTTTGCTTTTTAGGGATAATCATGTACTTTCCCAACGGCTTAAACGTCATTTAAGCATTGCACGTAAAATGACATAATAAAGATGCACAGCTCCATTGAATCTAGAGTACGTCAGCTGCCTTACGCCCCCGTACACACGCAACGCATTGGATGCTGCGAACGCAAACAGACAAATTGCAGAGAATTTCCCAGGAGCGGCATCCATGAAACTAGGCTAAGATCTTTCAATTTACGTAGTGCGATGATATGCTAAGATTTTGTGGTCTTTTTTTTTTACTTTAAAATAAGTTTTGTTTATTTTTGCAATTTTTCTTATGAATGAACATCTGTATATATCGTAGCGTGCACTATATATACTCGCAACAGCACATTAATACTATTGAGCTTCATGTTTCTTCTTTGGATTGAGGCAGCAGTGCCAACCGCTCCATGGAACAATTTACGAGTGCATTTATTTCAGCACTGATTTCATTTCAAAGGAGAAAATCCCTCTTCGCAAGGCTTGCGGAGATGCGCTACAGTTGCATCATCTCTCTGCCTCAAAGGTGGTAATGTGAAGTAATAAAGAAGTTGGCATGGCTATGGGTAACCTGTACCATATATGCACAGGCATACGTACGCCCAATATTCAAGTATTTGGCTTAACGCTTTGGCACTCGTTCAAATTGAGTTCTGCATGTTAAGTTTTTATGCAGATGAGATATTTATTTTTTTTTTCTTTTTCAATTTTTTTTTTATTTTTTACTTTTTACTTTTTGGTTTAATAAATGAAAATGTTTTCCATTTTTAATTATTTTTACTTATTTTACTTTTTACTTTATACGTTTTACTTTGTACGAGTAATTGACTTTTATTTTCGTACAGCAGCAAAAGTTTAAGTATTGAAAAGTGCATTGCACTGCACTTTTGTCCGTCCACACGCAGTTTGTCTTTCCGTCTTTCCGTCTTTCCGTCTATCCGTCTTTGCGTTTTTCTGTCTGTCTCTATTGCGCTGTCATCATGCACCGGTAAATACGTCAAAGTCAGTCTTTTCTGGGTGTCGATAAATTACGTTAACTGTGTTGGGCTTTTAGAAATTACAGTAAATCCACCTTGGGACTTCAGCCAGAGCCAATTGAGTGCCTTCAATCGCAAGTGTCAATTTCGGTTTTTATTGGAATAAAGCTGCCAATTATTATGTAATTTGATATACTATCAATATGCCGTCCTGTTAGCAAACAAATTTCTGAATATAAAACCACTTAATAAATATTTACAATTGTTCTATGACATAAGTAGAAAAGATTCATAGTCAGAAACATAGTACGACTATTCAAACAAGAAAGGATTTAGGATTCGAGTTGACAGAACTTCAACAGAATTCATTAACATAATTATCTTAAAAATGCAATTATAAAATGTAAGAAATGTAATAAAATAAAATGTTATTAAAGTTAGTTATGTTTGCCGAAAACTACGCTTCTTATGACGATAAAGAGTGTATTTTTAAAAGTTAGAAGGCTTCGAATAGAAAAGAAAAGACAAGAACAAAAATTTATGGATGCCGCTGTTTCGAGTATTGTCAAGTACTTATCGTCAAGTCTTAGGAAACATTGGAATTTTTTAATTAATTTATAGTCCATATATAACTAATTCTATAACTTTTCTTTTCTATTCGGAAATAAATACTTAACAAAATGTCTTTTACTTAATAAAATGTTGTTTAAGTAAATAAATTTAAAAAAAATTAAACAAAAATTAAGAAAATATTATTAGCTGGATTAGGTTCTGAACAACAAACTTTGGATAACTTTTCAAAACTAAAGTGGAATAGTTCCACCCTCACAGTAAACCCGACGCCTATGGCCATATTGGATTACTTCTGTTATGAACTGACCTAATTAAAGATATTTAGCCATACGTTAGGTTAGGTTAGGTTAGTGGCGGTCTTGTGTTTAAAGCCCACTTAAAGTCATATAATGTCTCATTATGTAATCAAGTGATTAGCGTTTGAAAGGGATTACAAGATCAGCGTTTGCTCGTTAAAACGAACGCCAAAAGGTACGACTTTCCCATAAGATAACGATAAACCAACCTAGCTAATTTATAAACTTGGGCAAGTCTCTAATTTAGCAGGGGGACAGCTCGGTTAGGTCAGCAAGAAAAGGGGGCCCAAAGAATTTAGATCTTCTTCTAACAAAGGATGGACACTGACACATGTGGCCGAACACGGGTCCTTCTCATCTTCAGAGCTACAAACTCGGCAAAAGTCATTATAAGATAGACACAGTTTTATAGCATTTCTTCCTATTACACTATGACCCGTCAACACCGAAACCGTAGTACTGACCAGATTACGTTTTAGTTAAAGCGGAGTTGATTTTATTTATATTAACGAATATTTGGCTATACCAAATATTTCGCCAAAAGTATCTCATATTATCTCATACCTAAAAAATGCCAATGCAATGTTTATTTTTTCGTTAGAATCACATTAATACTATTGAGCTTCATGTTTCTTCTTCGGATTGAGGCTTGAAGAATAGAAACCATGGCTTATTTGGAGAATATTACGAGTAAATAATCAATTCGTCGTAAGAAAGTAATAAAAAGTATTCCAGTGGTGAGTACCTGTGTGTGATCGTGACTGAAGAGTCAATTTATATCTAGACCTGATATTACATCATTGGATTTATGTTTCTCCCCATTTCTGTAATATCACTTTATTGGCATAATATTGAATTTAAAAGAGGAACTACATCAGTTGCTCAAAAATAAAACCATAAACAGTTTGTTTATGACTGATGACTGAAAAACATCGATTAAGGTTAAAAAAATTAGGTAAGAACGGCTACAGAGAAGACTTTGCGCTCTACAACAACATTTAACAAATTTAAGCAGCAGATTAAGACAATAGATTAATTTATGATTATATTCATAGAGTACAGATCAATTATACGTAAAGTATTAGTTTACCTGGCACTACAAAAAAAGAAAATCGTAGATTTTGAAATATTTTCAATCTAGTTAGTAGTGTAAAATATATGAATAGTTAAGGCAAATCCAAATACGACACATTTCAGTTAAAATAAATTTCTTTTGGAATAAGTAACTCAAAATTTAAAAAAAAAAATTAGTTTCTGAAACTAAAAATGTAGAAACATAAGAAGAACTACTACTTGAAATAGAAGAAAGTCTCTGGAGAAGAACTTTCTTTTATTAAAATACTTAAAATGTCGTATTAATCGACGGTTTTAAATAATATAGTACATTCTATTACTTAATGATAAGTCGCGCAACTACTGATCAATTTAAGTACATGAAAATCTATATTACAACGATATTAGGTACATGGATATATGGTATAAACGAGTGATTGGAATAGGATCACTCAAGAACTTTTAGTGATATGATAATTGCTCCATGGTAAGTTCTTTAACCTTTTTACATTTTTCCACTAATTAATTTATTTCGTTATTTATTTCTCTTTTCAGTTAAATAGCATTTGACGCTATTGGAGCTAATGGTAAGTACGCGTCTTCCTAATATTCTTCCACAAATTCATCCATTTTGAAATTTTTAAATTATTTTAAAAATATTTTTTTTTGACAATTGCTTCTAGGATTATAAAATATAATCTTCTTTTTATTACCCTGATGTGACATTGTTTGGATAACTGATTCTTAAAGTCTTTGAATTATATGTCGTTATTTGATTTTTAAAAAAGGCTTTGAAATTACTACTTTAACATCAATCGGTATTTCCCTCTAATTCATACGTACTTGGTAAAAACTTCACTTTGGACTCTTACTACAATTTCTGCAGGTGATTCAATAAAAGGTAGTATATGATAATGATAATATCATAATGATATGATAATCTATATGTCTTCATAACCAGGTGACCGAAATCGTGCAGAAGTACAATTACCGTTTATGCTGAAGAAACTTTGGAAATTGGCTACGGAGTACGTGAAACCTCTTCAACTTATGTCTCCTGATGAAAGATTCCTGCTTGTAGAAACACAATTATTAACTTAATGGTATGTTTTATTGTATTACTAGTTAAAATTTATTTAATTAAATATTTCCATAGATGTTTGTTGAACATCTTCTAGATGAACTAGAAGCGGAGTACTTTCACTGCTTGTAGATGGACTACAGAAGCAGTAGAATTTCAATTTCCACAACCATTCCAAGTGACCTGATGCTAAACTCTGTACAACTCCAAAGTTGAAGAACCAAGTAAAATTCTCTATAATTAAACCTTGAAGTTTGTTTTATGAAAATGGACGAACCTTTACCATCTAAATTTCTTGTGATTTAATTTAAGCTTTGGAACGTTGTGTTTGCATGAACTCAATTCTAAATTTTTATGAATATATTTTGCAGAAATAAAATTTTTAGTAAATATACATAGTTTTTATAGTTTTCATTTATTAAGAATTTAATTTGTTATTGAAATAAAAAAAAACGTTGGCTTTACTTCTGCTGAAACATCAAAGATCTGCACATATAATATAATTATATTCTAATTTATTGACTTAACTGCAAAAGTACGAGTATCTAAAACATTCGAAGTACATGAAAATGTATAAATAAACTGAAATATTTTTATTACATAGTTATTGTATGAAATGAGAAATATTAAATAATTCAGTCTACCGAACTTCATTTTGTCGAAGAAGATGATGGTCAGGATGCTCAAATGACCAAGCAACTGTAGATACCCTAAAGATGGGAGATACTCAAATAAAGGTGCATGAGCTTGCTATTATAGTGAAAATCTCAATTTTACTGTAAATAAGAGATGAGAGAATAATCGAGAGAGTATGTTTCTTATCAACTAAAAAAGGTTATGAGTAGTCAGTGACCCATTGAAACAGCTAAACCAGTCATATTATGTACTGTGATATATTCACCTCTATCATATTCTCCAAAATTGTGTTAAATCATCAATAAGATTTTATTTTCATATTTTAAAAAATTATTATTAAAGAATAAACATCAATCGAGTATCGTCTCTGTAATTAATTAATATTTTGAAGGTCTAAAATATTCTATTTTTCAAAAGACAAGAAATTCTAATAATGCATCGTATGTATAAAAGTCAAAGTTGACTATTATGTAATTTTTCACTAATTTACAAGTCCAACGTTATAGTAACATATAGAATATATAGGAGTCTCTATGGTACATACCCTTGGAATGCGTCGTATTGTAAATTCTATAGCAAAACCGAACACCACAAAATTTAATTTCTGAAAAGAAATGTAGTGTAACAATGCCTAAAATTATCCCTCAAAATCATTTTATTAAAAATAATTGTGCAATAGTACAGCCCACTATCGATCCAGCACATCATAAAAAGATCTAATATATAAATGAATAAGTGTTGGAAATCTCCACAATCTATAGAGCTTATTTTAAAAATTACAACGTATGACCTCGAGGCAGAAATATTGCAAAACTTAATGTTTTTTAGAAAGAAATATATAAATATATCTATAGACAGCATATATACACAAAAAAAATATCAATAACAGCATGAAATAGACAATTGTGATTTAACTGCATGCATAACATGTTTTCATGGTTATGACTAGAAAGATAGTTAATCTAATGTGCCTTCATCGTATGACTATTTAGCATGATACTAAGAAATATATTAAATATTTTCAATCTAGTTAGTGATTAGATGTCAATATAAATAGTTAAGTTAAATCAGAATACAATATATTCCAGTTAAAATAAATTTTGTTTGGAATAAGTTACTCAAAATTATAAAAAAAAATTTTGTTTCTGAAACTAAAAATGTTAAACGAAATGAATAGTATAAACTAGACGAGTTTCTGAAGAAGAACTTTCTTCTATTAGAACTCTTAAAATGTACTATTTAATGGTGTAAAGTATGCCAATTTAAAATATTAATTATACTACTCAAATATTAATCGCGCAACTACTTATAAGTTCAAGGATATGTAAAATGAATATTAGTAGGGTATTATGTACAGGAAGACGTGGATGAGTGATTGAAATAGGATCACTCAAGAACTTTTAGTGATAAGATAATTCCTCCATGGTAAGTTCTTTAATATTTTAATCTTTCTTCAAGGCTTTTAATTATTTTATAAGTCGAGATATATGTAAGTATGTAAGTCTTCTACATGTTTATATCGTTATCAATTTTTATACTTTTTTTTTTTAATTTTGATGAATTTTATTTTTATTTAAAACTATATTGACATTGAAATTTTGTTCAAGGATATGGAGAAATTTGTTGAAGAAAATTATTTTTAATTAACCTGACTTGACAAAACTTGATGTATCAATTTTTATGGTCTTTATGATCTTAAAGACCAATTGGACGTTCCAGAATGTGTATAGGAGTTACCTTCTTAGTATCAAATGATGTTTCTTGGTGAATACCTGTAGATGAAGATGTATCATTACATTCCAAAAACTTCATAGGTATTTTAGTAATTTTACATTTAAAGTTCATTTTTGTAGGAATGTTAGTAGTTTTATCTTTATAGCATTTCCATAGCCAAGACGATACATGAGACACCTATTCCAATTTATAACGGGAGAGGATGGTTGGAATGTATTTAAAATGGATCCATTTATTGATAACTGTGTGAAATTTATAATTACTGTGGCTGTTGGAACTGTTGAATGTAAGGCTATTAGAATATTTAATACTTGTTAGATATTTAAATTTAAACAAATTTTTATCTAAAGGATTTTATAATTTAGAAGATACATGAGACACCTATTCCAATTTATAACGGGAAAGGGTGGTTGGAATGTATTTAAAATGGATCCATTTATTGATAACTGTGTGAAATTTATAATTACTGTGGCTGTTGGAACTGTTGAATGTAAGGCTATTAGAATATTTAATACTTGTTAGATATTTAAATTTAAACAAATTTTTATCTAAAGGATTTTATAATTTAGAAGATACATGAGACACCTATTCCAATTTATAACGAGAAAGGATGGTTGGAATGTATTTAAAATGGATCCATTTATTGATAATTGAGTGAAATTGATAATTACTGTGGCTGTTGGAACTTGAATGTAAGGCTATTTGAATATTTAACACTTGTTAGATCTTTAAATTTAAACAAAATTTTTTCTAAAGGATTCTATAATTTAGAAGATACATGAGACACCTATTCCAATTTATAGGTGTCCCGCAACTGCGGGATTTAAGATCCAAGTACAAATCTCTGTATTTAAACATTGAGATATTTTTTCAGAGAAGGTAAATACTCCTATTGTCAAATTTCTAGTAGTAAATGTTTGGCCATTAAATCTAGCATGCAAATATTTAATGTTGCCAAAATTACTGTACTATATACTATATTTCTGATAAATAAAATTCAAAATGAATATATGTTGCATTTTTCTTTATATACAAATATTAAAAAAATATTTAAAATTAAAGTAGAAATTATATTATATGTCTCATTCCGTATATCACATAATTTTTAGTAAGTAATATTAATATATGTTAAAAAAATTATTTTGATTCCAATTTCTAGTTCTTGAGTTATTAAGTATCATAAATAAAATATGATCTTTACACGTTTGTCGAAAGAAAACAAGTACATGGTAATAATCGTCTATCATAACCTAAGAGAGAGAAAACCGACTTTTTAAAGAAATCAATGTTCACTTTGAAAAGGTGAATGAACTGATATTTCTAGGGATTGTGCTTAGCGCATAAGTATATCGGAAAAAATCCAGAAACGCATCTTTACAATTAAACACTGACTTGTAATAAAATCACCCAATTGCCAAACTCTTAAAAAAATCTATGGTAAGAGATAGGTGGAATTGTAATAAAAACATTTGGATTTTAAATAATGGTTCTGAATGGTTTTTATGTATATATTCAGCGTTTAATTTTTGCATTTATAATTAAAAATAACATTATTTTAATTCAAAAAATAATATGTTAATAGTCCTATACCTTAATACAGTACCATAAATAAATTGGATTGTTTATTTAAATACATATATTTAGTCAAATCTTTGCAGATAGTAATTATTGCCATCAAAGTAAAGGAATCACCATATTTGGAAACATCAGTTTTTTTTAATTAAAATTGTATAGCAATATAGTATACTAAATACTCTGGAAGCTACAATACTTTAAGAATATTTTGGATTCAAGTTTATAGTCGGCTATCAATTATTCGACATCCTACAGTAATTATCCAACTGATTCACAATAGTAAATTCATCATCATCATCGTCAGTTCCTGTATCTTCCATTGGTGCTCCATAATGTCTTAATAAAGCACTTCCATCTGGTTCTCTTTTTCGCCAAAATCTTCAGCTCGTTTCACATTATTCCGGACTCTACGATTTCCTTTTGTAATGTTCTTCTTCGTATATTTTAAAGACTTTCCCTCTTACGGCTGCTTTAGAGACTCCAAACAAGAGCTTATCGACAAATTTCCGTGGGGTCCTTTCGAAATGTGTAATCTAGCCACCGCCATTTTCGTGGCTTTATGTAATTGACTATTGGTTCCAATTTACAGTTTTCATATAAGTCGCAATTACTGATGACACTTGGCCACCACAGCTTGAGAATACGTCGAAGACATCTGTTGACGAGATGTCAGAGAGTGCAAAGAGTGCAAAGAGTAGTGAATTGCAACAACAACATTTTATTATTTTTATTTAATTGCATTTTTGTTTAGCATACAGCTATTTCGATTATCTCCAAATACTCATCGTCAGTGGTATTTTTAAAAATATTTTCTATATTTAATTAATCGTAAATAATTTTTTAAGACTGTAAGTAACAAGAGTTGCACTCGTACCCTGTCAAATTTGAAACTCAGAGTCAGTGTTTATTATTCTAATAAGGATTTTGGAGTGTTTTTAATTAACTGTGAAAGTTTATTAACAAATTCACTTGATGTGTTGTATTAGGAGGAAATCATAAATCAGCTGTAGAATTAATTCTTAAATTTCGATACTATTCTTTTGTAAAGGTATTATATATGAATGATTTTAATAATATCAACAGTTTAATATAATTTGATGTCAAATAATATATCAGATATATATAAACTTGTATCCTTTTTGTTTGTTAATAGCTTTTTTGAATGAATTGTTCATATTTGCTAATAACTTAAATGTTGTTTATTACTTTCTATCTTCAATTTACAGCATAATTATATAGGTGTATCATATCTCCAGGGACAATCAGTAGCTAACTATATAATTGTCTTATTTATCAAATATTTTGATTTTATTATAAGCAAATGTAAATAAATAACACTTTCCATAAAATTCCACAATGGGTGTTAGAAGTATAATTAATGCTACGAATTAAAGCATTAAAATTCTCTAATAAAAAAGAAGTATTGAAGAAGGGTTGTTTGACAATATGTCAAGATTTTTTTTGTATTTATTTTTTCTAATATTGACCACCCTTGAAACTCATTAAATGGAAAACTTTTCATTACAAAATGTTTTTTTCATAATTTCCGTGTTTCCTTTTAATATTTTTGTGGGTTGTTGTGGATCTCACACAAGCCACCGAAGTTTAACGACCTCCATGTCAATATAGTTGATGGAACTGGCCACGCGCATTATATCCATGCATATGACAATAATAATAATTATGATTTACACCAATTGCAACTACTTTATTTACTTTTCTGATTTTTTTCCGAACTCAAACTCGAACTCGAACTCGAGCACGACATTTGCGGTATTCTCACGTTCCGTTCCTGTAAATTACCTGCGCCGATTAAGCCAATTACTGACCGACTGCTGACTACTGAGGCTCTTTTAATTGATATGTACGGTTTTATGCTGATTTAGTAAAATCATTCGAAAAAATTGCAATTTGTGACAAAACATAAACAAATATTAAAGCGAAATTTCTTTTTAAAAAGTAATTTAATATTTCCAATTTATTTGATTTTATTGCTTATTCCAAACCAGACTGATTTATAGCGTTCAGTACATGTATATATATTTACATATAAACATTTCAATGCACTTGAAAGAATTATTTCTTGTGGAATGAGAATTAATTTTGTTTACTACTTAATTTCATTTGCTTTTATTTGTCAACTAAATTTTCTATTGTATTTTGATAAATAAAAAAATGTTGAAAACAAATCTACTGCATTTCCGTTTTTCGTAAATTTGTGTTCTAAATTCAATTTGATTTGTACATTTAAGTGTGTACCAAGATACACTTTTTCAAGATATTTACGAATTTCAATTTCAATGTATTTCATATAGTGGAGTAGTTCACAGCACATATAGTATCTACGCACAACGTAGACACTGAACGGTTCGTGTCAGATACAAGAAAAGTGCAGCTCAATTGGTTAATTTATGCCCAAACATTTGTGCTTGGATTTCTCTTGGTTTACTGTACCATCTACCGAACATTTGAGATTTCTATACATATTTCTATACATTTATCTGGTAATTCCCGCCAATAAATTAAAAGTAATGTATGAAATATGCTGGATTGCATAAAATGGCTCAGCTTTGCTCCTAAAAGGCACCCAAAACTTGTCCGCTACACCACACAACACTTCCCCAAATCAGTGGGGGTATTGGATTGAGGAAGCTACTAACAATGTGTTAGCATATTTAACTAAAAACTGTGATTGAAAAAGGGCGGCAACTTTTATGAGCATCGTTTAAAGTTTCGGTCTCTGGTTGTTGGTTGTTGGTTGTGCAGATACAAACAAATCCTACTGCCTTCTGATTGTGCTATGGAGTAGCAAAAACAAAAATAGCACATCTACAATACTTCAAGCACACATTCACAACACATCAAAAATTCTCATATACATTTTTGTCCATATATGCTAATATTAAAAAAATAACATTAAAAATTCACTCTTAACTAAATTCTCAATAGTCTTTAATAATATTTAATAATTTGTTTGTAAGTTACATAAAAACAGAAAAAAATCATTTGAAAGCACCTTAAATAGTACTATTATATCTAAATGTTTCCAGCAAGGATATGCACACACATCTATACACCGGCCGAAATGATGAACCGGAAACGGACGCAAATGCCGAGATGCTGTATACAAACGAACGTAACCTTTCCCAAGGAAAATGTCAGTGAACTTTATTTTTTTTTTTTTGATACAATAACAAAAGTATTATTTTAAGCTTAATTACTAAAAGTAATTTTCTTATTTTTTATTTAATTTTATTATATTTATTTAAAATTTTTTATTTATTCTATATTTTCAAATTTATTTACACCGAAATTAAGCGAACCGCACGCACCGCACAGATCTCCCAACAAGCGCACTCCCAACGAGTTTTTCTTCAACTGAATTTCATTTTTATTTTGTATATTTTATATAGCAATGTGGTATAAAACCTAACATTTTATACCAAACACTGTTCAAACTTAACATAACTGTTAACGTCTACAGGAAAATGTACAATTAGCAGTGTTAGCAGTGTTAAAACAGTGATGGCGATAATAAAACGTGAGAATGTAACTTAATTTTTAATAGCTTTCAAACTGCAACAATAATAACAGTGGCGTAATGCCATGCGCAGATGATAACCACATTCAGCGGTTTGCATGAAACACATATAACCATTTTTAGGTATAGTTCAATCAGCGTTCAGTCAGGTCTACTATTGCGGCTGCCTTAAACTGTTGTATATTTTTACACACAAACTGTAATCAGTTACTGAAAGCGGTTGTCTTTCGCGTAGGACATACTGGTCAAAGCTTAATATCTCATATCCCAATACGTGTAAATAGACAACTTAGTAAAAGTCACCTTGTCTTTTTCATCTTACGAAATTCATGTAATATCATGTTTCGACTAAAATTGCATATGTTAAAGAAATTAAAATTTGGGCGTTTCCATTGGCATAAATTGATTTATGCATTGTGAAATAGCTTGTGTATTTACATTTTACTACTAAAACATATAAAAAATATTTCAAATTTAGGACATTTCCCTTGTGGGAAATATATTTTTAGAGTCGCATTTGACATTTTTCGTCTTTAATGATATGATTTATTATAATGAGCTCATTTATATGAAAATTCTTTGTATGATAAATTATCTTAATTATCGGTTGTAATGATCAAAACTGCTTAAATGAGACCAGTGGAAACATGGTATAACTCAATAAAAGAAACATTAACCACACTTGAACATAACTAATGATTGTTCTCCTTAAAAAGATACATACGAAAACTATCGAAATAGGCGACTAAGATCCCGACACCTTCCGGCACTGTTTGGAGTGTAAATGGTAGTGAGTGAGTTTTTACTTGCGTCACCCAACCAAAGTTGTGCATGTGGTAAAACGGGGACAGTGCCCGTAGCTTCGGCTGTACTGACAGTGTCGTGGTAGCTGTGATTATAATCCAAATTTACGCAAGAAGAATAATTGAATTTATTTACTTTCATTCAGTGTGGAGTTGCGTTATCACACCGGTTGCTGTGACCCAAAAGATCAGCAGAGGTGGGATGGACCTCGCTCTTTACCAAGAGGAAAATTATGCCAAACATCATTTGGTGCCATTAGATATTGCTTGGAATTCCAATGGGGCGTTTGTCGACGCATTATCTTGATGCGTGTGTTTAGAACACCGTGGTGTTGAGCTATCTAGGCAGGTTATCACATAAAAATTTTGGATATCTGTGAGTAGCAGCATTTCTTGTTGCATGTTTATTTGCTGTGTTTTTACTATAGAATCACACATATATGCACGTAAATGCATATATAAAACATTACATATAGAAATAGTTCATTCAAGTAATGAAATCACAGGTATGATAAAGCAAATTTCGAATACTTATATCTAGGCACATTGTACGTTTATATTCTACGTTTACACTAAGACTTATCGAACTTAGACTTAAGTATATTTTTATATGAATTTTGTATGCAAAATAGCACATGTTAGTGAGTATTCGTTGGTTTAAAAACAATAGTATAAAAATAACATTCTATCTTGTTATGGATTTAACATGGCAGCTCAGTATTCTCATAAAATAAAATAATGTAAGATATTTTAGATTGGCCTCATACATAGGTTAAGTAGTTAAAAATTTTACCTTTTTTACCAATATCTTTTTAATTCCTTTTAATAAAATCTTAAAATACTAAATCACCAATCAAAATAATGTAAGATATTTTAGATTGGCCTCATACATAGGTTAAGTAGTTAAAAATTTTACCTTTTTTACCAATATCTTTTTAATTCATTTTAATAAATAAATAAATAATAAATAAACTGTTAAATAAATAAATATGCTTAATTTAGTACTATATGCATTTACTGTATTTATATAATTTATTTATTATTAAATTATAATTATTAAATAATAATTTTATATGAACTTTCTTACATATTTTGAAATTAGCGTAGCGACATCTAGTTCTCGTTCTTAAATTTTTCAAAATATGACTTAAAGCCGTTACCAAGGAAACGTAATTCAAAATGCAAACATAAGTAAAATTTTAGAAGCAAATATAAGAAGCAATTAGAATTGTTTAAAAAAATAATTTTTAAATATCTAAACTAAAATTAAAAAATAATCTTCAAATTTAAAAACAAATAGTTTAAAATGAAGTACATACCGATTCACACTCAAAACACGGTGATTACCTATAAAAACGCGCTGTGCTCAGCTGCAACGTTTATAGTTCTAATTCTCATAATACTTTCGGTAATGATACCAGTGCTGTTGGTGTCGATACTAAGTCCATATTCCAGCATAGCGGAGTCGCGGGTTTTATATGAACAACCAAAAGTGCGTTTTCAATTTCAATATTTTTTCTTGGCAGAATTGGCTGAGGTTGAGGTTGAGGAATCAAATTCAACAGATAACACAACTGAGAGATGGATGATATGCAGTACAATGCCTCGACTTAATGCCCATCTACAGCACTTTACTCATCAATGTGAAGGTGTTCAATTTTGGACTAAAGACTTTGAAAACGATGGCGTTACCGACCGCGCTCATTTCCAGTTGCAATTGATGACAGAACCAACATTTATTAAAAAATTTGATTTATTGCTCTTCTTTGAGGCTAAGCTAACCCATAAATGTGATTTGTTACCGCCAGCCTTGCTAATGCAGAGTTTGACTGTACCCATCGGTGATACTCCATTGTACAATGGCCTTATTTTATTAAAAACAGAACTGAAACACAAACAATATATTGAATATAGTTGCCCTTTCCCAGGTCGAAATCTAAAAACAGAATTTCATGATGTATTGCCCAATGGAAATACCTCAAGCAATTTAAAGGAATTTGCGATTGAATCCATACTAGACGAGCTCAAAATAAATCCTGGCTTTTTTCAATTGTCGCTTGAAGAAACTTATGTTCGTCCAGAACCGAATCCCCACTTGCGTATACAGGTCGATATCAAGATATCTCAAGTTCCAGTTCGTTATCATCTCAGCATTTGGGAACGTCTGGGTCAATTTTGGTTGTACTTCGCTTCCTTCTTTGGTATTTCATTTTATGTTTTAAATAAAATAAAGGATTATTTGTTCAGCCATCAAATCATACGTTCTTGGGAGATTATACCTTGGAAAAAGCTATATTGACCCGGTGAAGAATATTGCTTTGATTCTGATGACTTTTCTTTGAGATGAAACTAATGTGATTCAAAAGTTATACGTAATTTTTAAATATTGTGAACTAACTGATATACTTATTAATATACAATTAATGGGATTCTAATATAATTATCTAATACTTAAATTAATAAATAAACAAAACAAAATATATAAACAAATAAAAATTAATCAAATGCTAAAATTGATTATTGTTATTAATAAATGTAGAAAAATTGTATGTGAATTAAATTAACAATTAATTAAATAATATTTAAGTAAATAAAAATATTGCCGTAGTATTAGTACAAGCACTAATAAATTTTTATAATTTATTATTAAATATATTTTTAATTATTTTATTAGAGTTATTCTTTTATTAATCAATAGATTAAATCATTTTTAAAACATAAAAATGTTTGTATAAAGTGTTTTTTAGTTTATTTTTAAATTTATTCTTTAGTAAATTTTTAAATAGTAAATAAATTAAAAGTAAATATATTAAAATATTAATTTTATTATTCAATAAATCAACTCATATTAAATGTTCATACATAAATTAACATGTTAATGTTAAAAAAGTTATTAATTTTTTTCTAATATTTTTAATATATTTTAATATTATTAACTTATAAATTAAAATGTTTTATTTTATTAATTTTAAATTTAATTGATTTTTAATTGATTATTGTTTTTAAATTCAAATTTTATTAATTAATAAATTAACTAATATTTATTATGTTAAAATATTAATATGTCAATACATAAAAATTTTTTTTGATTAAGTATTTAATTTATTTTTTATTGAATAATTAAATTACTTAATAATTTTTTAATAGTTATAAAATTTATATAAATTATTATTAAAGGGGACAAAATTGTAGTTAGGAATTATATTTATTTATTATAAATAATTTATTTAATTAATGTATTTATATTAAATTTAAAATTAATTAATTTTTAATACTTTAGAAATGCTAACAAATTAAAATGATTTTTTTTTGTAAATTTATTATTTAGTTTATTAGTTTTTCTTTAATTATTATATTAAGGTTTAAATTTCATTCAAATGTCTATATATAAAAATGTTTCTTCAATTTCTTATTTATTAGTTTAATTATTGCTTTAGAGTTTTAAATTTATTAATCAATAAAACTAGCATTTAATATGTTGAAATATTAAAGTGTTGATAAATTAACAAATTTTATTTTATTAATTCAATTTAATTAAATATCAAAATTATTTCAATTTACTACAGCTTGAAATTTTTTATTTAAAAATTTCTTGTTTCAAAATATTTGACTTCTAAAAAATACTTAATTTAATTTGTGATTTAAATATATTTAATTAAATTAGATTTTGAACTAAATAGAAAAAAAAAACTGTCATATGTTTGTTATATGACATATATTATATAAAATATAACTATCCTTAATATTTTCTAAATAATTAAACTAAAGCCTTTTTGAGGTCATTTAAATTTTGGTTTATATTATAAGTTATATATAAATTTTAAATTTATATTTAACATATAAACTCTTAAATTTCAAAACTAATTTTTTATATTAAAAATGTTCAAATTGTTAAATTTTATTAATATAATCAAAATAAAATTTAAATTAAATCAATTAAATTTAATTACATTTTAGATATATTTATAAAATTTATATTGAATTAAATTAAAAAATTTAATTAATTTTATAAATTTTATTGAAATTAAATTTTAAAATTTAAAAATAATTTTTAAGTAAGGAGCAACCAAAATTGAATATAATATATTTAGTCTGAAAGATTGTAAATGTTATAATTATAAGAAAAATATAAATAAATTAATAAAGCCCTACATAATTATATGCGTAACTTGTTTAGTTTATTTCAAAATAAACTGAACTATTATAATGAAAACACACATTTTTAAACTTGAACATATATAGTTTATATTTATTGAATATCCTCGATAATTATCTTAATAACATCAAATACCACACATAATTTTGAGGATACATTATTAAGTTTGTAACATTTAAAATTTTCAATATATTTTAAAACTAATAATGACTTAAAATGCGTTTAAGTACTAATTGACATATATATAAACATAAATATATATGTGTATATACATATGAGTATATAATTATATTGAAAAAAATGCAATATAATGTATAAAGTAATTATAAATTAGAAATAATCACAGGAACCAATAAATAAAAATTTAAAATATAATCTTTAAACTAAATTTTAATTTCGATTTTAATTCCAATAAAAATATCTTGTGCGAACATATAGCATATCTATATAAGCATATCTATATATTGTGTATAAATATTTAATTTTAGAGATCCTAACAAGCTAAAGTGAATGTAATTCGATAAGTAGCGTATGTTGCTGAGAACAATATAAATATATATGTATATAATTTTCAGAAAATTATTGTATTAGTTTAAAGTTAAGTTAAAAATAGTGTTCACAATTATTGTCACTCACACGAAATATGTTTCTTAAAAAAAAAACATTTCTAATTGAATTTTTATTTTTCTATATAATAAGTCAAGTCTCGACATACCACACAAAATCTCTATAAAATTAATCGATTTCCCATTTTAATTTTTTTATGCAATTTTAAAAACATTAACAAGTGAAATTGGACTTATTTTTAAATTAAATTTTGTTTATGATTTTATCTGTTCATATATGAATCCTAATATTTAAGAAGGTACAATACAATAAAAACTACACACGACGAAATTATATAACATACTTATATGTATATTGTATATGTGATCTAAAAAACTATATGAAGCTAAAATATATTCCGAAAATACATTGCTGTTCTAAATAAATCTTGTTCGATTGCTTGTGTATTACGTTTGGGAGATTCTCCATGTGCTTTTGGGTTTATTTTTTTAAAAGCCTGGTCTTGTATTGTCATCAGGACCACTGCTGCTATCTTCAGAAGGAATTGGACTGGCAGTAGCACTGCGGTCATAGTCACTGCGATCGGAAGTTATGATTTCCTATAAATAAAGCGTACTTTTAGTAAATCAACTTAATTTTTTTTATAATTGTTAACTAAATTAAATTTTTAGTTTCATAATTAAAAAATAAATAAATTAATATCTAAAATTAAAATAACTGGTGTTATAAATTATCCACTCCTGTCCAGGACCAATCAAACTAACACTGGGTTTTAAGTATTTTAGACATTGGCTTCTTTTGAAATTTACACATTTTCAAATATTTTCTTTATACAAAATAACTATCACTAGATGTGGGAGATAACTTTCCTGTATAAAGTGAACTGCCCTTGCCCTATTCATATCCTTCGTTTCAAAGTAGTAAGGTAAGATTCTTCAACTTCTCTCGTGTGAAATGCAATTGACCTGCCATCCACACCCTATTACCTCATTTTAGCTGCTTTCGTATACACTACCTCAACCCATGTAAGCTGCAATTAGTACTTTATTCACGCCCACATCTACATCCATATCCTATTACCTCATATTAAGCCACTTTTTTGTATACTATCCTAACTCATTGAAGCTGCAGTGAGTTTGTATATAACACTATAACCCATGTATTCTTCATGTACTCTATTCCTTTTTCCTGGTCTACAGGTCTCTTCGGACTACGACTAAACAGCATAAAGTAATTGAACTATAAACCCAATACCGTACATATTATCATATTTTGTATTCTAAAGGCCGATCTTTGGTATGGATAGTAAAAATTAGAAAAATATTTGCGCAATATATAATATTTTAGAACAGTTTTTTTTTAAAGAAAACCCTTAACTACAAGAATACAATGCATTATTGTGACATAGGAATGAACTAATTATTCAATAAAATTTTGAGATATCAAATTTTTTCTCTTACCTCATCAGCGTCAGTATTTTTAATAATAGCCTCAGTTTTAGTGTCAGTAGTTGTGGAGGCCCTTTCGCTCCACTCTTTGAGATAATCAACAATGCTGTGATGACCAAAGTTTTCAGCCTCATCAACTGGCATATTTCCCCAACGATCTTTGGGATTATGTGGTACATGGCAATGTTCTAGTAAAAATTTAACACAGTCCAAATGACCTTCAGAAGCAGCCAAATGTAATGCAGTTCTGCCATCATAATCAGCCAATGTAATATCCATGCCAGATAAACGATGTCTACGTAAAGCGGTGACATCACCACTAGCGGCTGAGAACAACAAATTGACAATAGATAATCCCTTCGTCTCGTAACGATGTTTACGAGGATCCTTCTTATTTGATGCATGTTTTAAGTTATCGTAACGATGGAAGTTGAACACACTAACTAGTTCTTCACAGAATTGCACACCACGCACGCTATTGCCTAGTTTATCTAATGGCGGTGACCAGGTGAAAATACCCATTACATTTGGTATGACTAGCATCATGCCACCACATACACCAGACTTAGCAGGTAAACCGACTTTAAAAGCAAATTGGCCGGAATAATCATAGGTACCGCAGGAGTGCATAATGCTTAATACATCACGCACAACTTCAGGACGTAGTATTTTTTCTTCAGTGATGGGGCAAATGCCACCGTTAGCCAAAGTAGCGGCTATCACACCCATTGCTTCGCATGTAGTTTCCATAGAACAACACTATAAATGAAATTTATTTTAAAATTTTATTGAGTGATTAAAGAGTTTGTTTTTAAAACATACTTGGAAATAGAAATCCATAACTTCTTTTAAGTTAGTGCGTTTGGGGAAACACTTATTTTCTCTCATATAGAAGCCCAAAGCATAATTTCTATCCGCTGCTTCACGTTCAGACAGAAATACGGCATTGTTGAAGCCAATGTTTTCGCCGCCAGATAAACGCTTAAAGCAGGATAATGTATAATCAAATTTTTCGGCTGCAGTCATTTCAGGCTTGATCAAAGCCTGCAGTAAGGAACAGGTTAGTATAGCGCCAGCGTTAATCATAGGATTGTGTGGTTTATCTATAAGAAGCAAAGTATTTACAAATTATAATAGCCATTTTAGTTTAAGTGTAATTTATGTACTTACTGTTATGATCTAAAACCAACTCGTTAAAGTTTCTGCCACTGGGTTCCTGCCCAACATAGGAATGTACCACTTTTGGACCCAACTTTTCTAAAGCTATGGCATAAGTTAAAGGCTTGCTGGAAACAAAAATTGTGAAGCGTTTTAAAATAAATCTTCAAATTACGAACCTTCGAACTTATAACAACAACAACAACACAAAACAAACAGGGACATATTCGTATGAAAAGCTTACTGAGCTTGCGCCGAATGTGCAAGATTAAAGCGACAAGTCTCTCATTGGTTTTTTAAGGTTTTGCTTGAAGCACATTTTATATGAAACGACCACTTTCTTGAAATCAAAAATTCACTTAAGATCTCTGTAAAAAGTTTAATTAATGAACGTAAATGAGGCACAAAAGCTTGGGTCTAACGAAAAACAATAGGACGTCGACCCAAAAAGCAAACCTGGATACTTCAGTGAATGGTGAATGGTGAATGATGACCAACTTGTATGACCAACACTTATGTTTATCAAAAATATTTACCTGCAACTCTGTAGAGTGAATGGTACTTCAACATCGCCAACTGAATAACGTTGTCCATCAATTGTGCAAATACTAACACCCCAAGAGTCTGGAGAATAGCGTGCTAATTGCGGTATGTAATCTGCGACATGACCATCAGTATTACTCTTACACTTCCAATAGATGTCTTCAACATCGCGCACAAATCCAGAGAAATCGGGAATAACGAATTGTTGTCGAAATGCTTTGGCAATTAAAACAATATTTTGTGCTATGACACTGCAAATAAATATTGCAACGGATTAAACTTAGATTAAAAGTAAGGGTTGGGATAATAGGTATATATACTTACGCTTTGAATGTCTCACGATTAAGATTTTGTGTTTCGGCTGATGAGCCCGACTCATAATTGGAAAGTTTATGCACTTTCTTTAAATTCTCCATCAGCTCGCGTATGCGTGGATCGCTGCGACGTATGCCGGTGGTCTTGAGGGCTGCCAAGAATTTGCCCATTGATATGAGACCACTTTCCTCATTGCAGAACATATCGAAGAGCACATCTTCAGCATTTCGTTGCTCTTGTTCCCGATGACTGCGCAAAAAAAAAACCGAAAATAAGAAATTATTAAAATCAAATAAATAACAATAATAATAGTTCTTAACTATTATTGACTATTATTTCATGTGTGTACTTATGATTATTATATATTAAGTTATCTAGAAAATATTTCACACTTTAATGAAAACTATTTTTCAATACTACACATGCCAAAACATTTTACATTGTTCGATTGACGAAAATAATATCAAATTAGCATACTTAAATTAATTAAAATATTTGCGAGGGAGTGTCTGCAAATTATTATGTATTTATGGTAAACAGAAAACTAAAACAGCTACAAATGCACTACAAACATATCTGAAGAGATGAGTAAATTTGTATGTACAGATACTTTTTATAATGTAATGTCGAGGAAGAAAGAAACCAATAAACTTAAATGTTTAGTTGATGTTTATGAATATATGATTTCTAAGGTATTTTCAATCAAATTTATTATAAAATAAATTATAAAAAATAATTTTTTAATATTTTGTATCATAGTATAAAGTTTATTCAAAGATAGATTTTTTATTATAGAACCAAAAAGATTTTAGTAAGAAATAAGCTTATAAATTATAGCAATATCCGGGTTACGTATATTACTATTTCAGTTTAAAGAGTATGTTAGTTAATAGTTATTGAAAGGTTCTAGAAAGGTTCTTAGATTTACGGACCTATTCTGTGCATTTTAAAAAATTGTCAAACATTGACACTTGTCAAAATTGACTACTGTAAAAGTTTTGGTATTCTGTGACATAAATAAAAAGCTCTTTTCCTTGTTAGTTGTCAATACTATTAATGCTGTTGAGAACTATTAAAATATGCTCTTTTTAAGCATTTTTTATTTTTTGCATACATGACAAATATTCTTAACTAAAATATACGCTCTTTACAAGCATATTTTTTATTGTGATTTGAATGCATGAAAAATGCTTTCGACAATTTAAAATATATGCTCTTTACAAGCATTTTTTACGAACAATTACGAACAGTTACGAACAGTTTTATATACAAAACACTTAACACCATAGTGTGCTGAGAAGCACTAGGTACTTGAGCTTTGAAATTTGTCAAGATGTGTCCAGAATACCAAAAAGCTTTCTGCTTTATAAAAATCAAAAATTTTATTAAAGAATTTGACAAATCTGTCAAGTGCACAGAATAGGTCCGTTAGTCTAAATGTAGAAAAAGAAAGAGAGAATACCTTCTTTACTTTAGATTCAGTATGGAAATATATAATGTTGAATGGAGAATGTTTTGCTTTTATACTCTCTTCACTTTCAAAGTTTATACACAAAATTTCTTATATTGGAGAGAAAATCATTGAGGATGTTAAGCATTAAAAATATGTTAAGGTGATTCTCTTAGACACTTTATTTTACCTTATTTGCTATTCCTACGTTTAAGTGCTGTTACCTGACATTTTAATGTAGTAAGCTGGAGCTGTTGCTTTTCAAATTATATTTTAAAATAAAATATATTTTAAATTTTTGTATATTATCTCATTTTCTATTCTTAAGTTTAAGTGCTGTTACCTGACATTTTAGCTATTGTTTTTTTTTTTTGACTCATATTTTTATATTAAAGTGTAGTTAGCTGGCACTTAACTGTTGCTTTTAAAATCATATTTTTAATATGAAATATGAAAATATCTGCAAATAAACCAACTTCGAAATGAGAATATTTTCAATATCTAAACTAAACACATTGAAAACTTTAATTTACATTTTCTTTTAAAATTATTATATCTTTAATTATTTGTTTATGAATTCTAACTAAAAACAAAAACAAAATATTTGAAGAAGAAAAGTAAATTTTAACCACTATGTTGAAATACATTTGTGAGTTACAATCCAAATTTAACTTATTAATGGATATTTTCTATAGATTAGTAAAAGAAAACAGATATAAGTAGGTCTAAAAGCAATTAGAAACTAGTCATTGACTACGATCACTATTATTACCTAGTTCGATATTTTTAAATAATGTTTAAAACTAATATGTTTTGAATATCCTTCTAAGCTGGATGTGACTTAATATTGGACAAGATAATAATTTACAGCATTGGAATAGACGATCATATACGAAGATCGGTATTGAAGATACGTATATTTTTAACAAATCTTACAATATATTGATATATTTAATTTTTCCAAAATTAAAACATTTTTTGTAAATAATTGTTATTGATTTATTTTTAATTGACTGAGTTGTTAAAGAAATTTAACAATGTCTCTAACAATTTATTGATTGAAAGTTTTATTGAATACATAATCAATTCTAGGAATTGTACATATTGTGGTACATGACGTACATATTGTATTCAATAAAAAGTAATATGATATTGCAATTTTATTAATGAATAATTAAATAAGTTAATTTGTTAAAAAAGAACACTATTTTCAGGGTTTTTAAGAAAAAATTTTTCGTTTTGAAATTGTGGATTCTAGTTTCTAAAGGTTGACTATATATCAAATAGAATTCTACGTGTTGAAATTAAAATTATTATTAAATCTTATATTTCAGTTGAAAAGTATGATCTTACTTTTATTGTATTTTTGTATCATTATGACATTAATAATATGTTTTCAGCAGAATACAAAGATCTTTTTTAAAAATCAAAATCAAAGAACTGGTATTAAGTCTTATGGGTTTAAGTAGGTATTTGAAATCTGGATATTTCCAACAAAATTTTGACATCATGAGCTACTCGTAAATTTGTAAGCTCCAAAATACAATGTTATAATATATAAGTATTAACTTAAGATGTAAATTCCAATAAAAAATTGCAGAAATTTTAAAACAAAGATACATATAATTTTTATATAAAATTTTGTTTAGATTAGCTTATGTCATTCGATTAGCACACATATATTTATTATTAATTATCTTGAAACATTGGGATTTTTCCAGAAATACTATTGTTTAAACTATATAAAGAGAATTAGAGATCTTAGATGTGTGTATAGTCGATTCAACGTGACTTAATTTAAAAGAAATGGCTAATTATATACAAATAGAAGAATCTAATAAAAATAATATAATTTTTATATAAGATTTGTATGTTGTTTTTATTACTGAAATTATTGTATGACACAAATGAAAAAATAAATAAAATAAAATAAAATTACTAAAATTTTTGTACTAATATATTATACACACAAAATAGTAATTTATTTTTATTATTATATATGTAATGTTCCGAGTCTATTCTTCGATTAAATTTAGAAATATTAGGTAAACCTTTCAAGAAAATTAAATAAGTAACAATTCACGAATAATAATATGTTATAACCGTGTTTTATTTTTATCGTATATGTTTAAGCGCTTGATTTTTATATGGAATATATCTCATATAGCAATATTCGTACATATAAAAAAGTATTTAGTTGCAATAAGCTATCCGCGGAGCACGCTAAGTTGGCTGACCTCATTGATTACTGGACATGGAAACGTCAAGTGTCACCTCAAAAAGATAACTTTTGTTGAGGAAGACGCTTGCAAACTGCGTCTAGAAGTGAAGGAGCCAGCGGTGCATATATTGTGCGAATATTCAGCACTGGCAAACAAGAGGAAGACCAACTCAATGGGACACCATTGGGTTTATGATGACTTGACATTCAACCTCAAGCTACATGAGCTGCTCGCAATAACAAGAGATGTAGTTATGCCAATGGAAGTCACTTTAGCTTGTACTCAATAACGACACCCGAGAATCGAAAGACGAAAAAGGACCCATGTCGTTTTGTGGTCTACTTTGACTTATGCTTCGGTGCGCTGTCCCAATGTCCCACAATATATATTTAGTTGCAACTCCCATTCTGTAACACGAATTGCGAGTTTTATTTATTGCACTGGCGCATATACATATACACAAAATTAAACCACGACTCATATTATACATATATATATTATACAAATTATTAAATATTGTATTTATATAAATATATATAAAGGATAAATTATTTAGAACTTAGTTTTCTATGTAAATTTAATTACATTATGTATAAAACTCCACTACATATGAAATATTGCAACATGAAGAAGAAATATAGAATATGATTTATACTTATATATAATATATGGTATAAATTATATAAATAAATGTATATAAAACAAAACGCAGAGTGATAAAATTTATGAATTTCATAAACATTTTACAATTCAAAACAATGTCATTTAACATAATTTAACATAGTAGAAAAAATTGATTTAAAAAGAAATAACGCCAAAATTTACTCACGGCCGTATCGATAAGAATCGCTTCTGTATGCTAAATGAAATAAGAACTTAATTAATATTTAATTAAATTATTGCAAACTAAATTTGAATCACTATTTTTTTCATAAATATAATTCAAGTAAAGATTATAAAAAAACACTGCAGAAAAGTATTACGACTGCTTAGTAGCAAGATTCTGTTTTGTAGACAGCAATTTATAGGTCTTAAACGAGACCCAAAGGTCAGAGACAGTGTCAAAATAAATTTGTTATTTTTTTATTCGATGATTATTAAATTATTAAAAAAACAATTTATTAATTACTTTATTTTGGTTTTTTATGATTAATTGTTAAAAAATCTGCAGAACGAGACAGTTGAGCATCTCTTGTTACCATCGGTTTTTTATTAAATCAATCAAATATTTTGAACATAATTTCTTAAATTAAATGAGAGTAAAGAATAGCAATATATATCTTCTGAGAAGGTTCTTTAAAGGTACCAAATGGTTTAATAACAATCATGCGATAAGGCAGCGGCCCATATTGACCTAAGTGATTTTCCACGTATCTTCTCGGACTAATCTAAAGAAGCCTAATTAAATGTAACTTGCACAAAATTATGACTATTTCTTTTTTCAAGTAATTTTAGAAAATATTAATTAATAGAAAAATATTTTGAGGTAACTATTATTTTAAAAATATTCAGTATGCTTTATTTTAAAATAATGCAATCATTGATTGGGTATATATATTTTAAATGTGCTTCTTTACTAACTCTACATTATATTTGATATAGCTAAATTAAGTAAGGTCTAAACAAAATTAAATTTGTGTTTCATATTCACTTTAAAAACACATGTTTCCATAAAGTTGAAATTAAAATATATTATATATTTATAAATGATGATTTTATAACTTATATTTTATAAGTTATAGTTATAAGTTACAGTTTTATATAACTATATTTTAGTGTCTACCAAGACTAAATTTTAGAGTCTAAAGTATTAAAAAAATTTTATTTTAAATCTTCCTGAACTTAAATATATAATATAGTAATATTTATAATATACATAGAATAGTAACGAAAATGAAATGGTACACTCTCACCTCAGCAAACCTTTTACGATAAGAACTTTTCCTCAACCAAAGAGACGACAAGTTCACTCTTAGGTTTTCCCTAAAATTCTCTACTGAAAGGTAGTAAGTTACTCATTGACAATTTTCTAATATCAAACGGCGGGAAAGAACTTAACTAGAAGTTCCATCACCTTCTTGATGCACTCAATAAATTTTTCATATCAAACAGACTTCTCTCTAATAACTAATTTCATAACGATGATAAGCACTTTAAGCTAAAAATACTAAATATTAGTAGAGGCCATATTAGAATCAGAATGACAAGTGATCAAGATAAAGTCCATGAAGCCAATAAACTATAATAGATTTATCCGATGTAATAGAAGATATTATAATTGCGATGATAAAAGCAACAATTTAAAGATATAAATGTATGTAGAAGAGATATTGTAACCAGAAGAGGTAATGTAGGAATCAGAACAAACGTATTATACAAGAAAGTCAAAAAATTTAGGAAGCCATAATAGAACTTAGTTTTTTTTTTTATCAAATATTAAGTACATCTATAAAAAACTTGCTTATATTAGAAAAGTTATTACAAAAAATAAAGAGCAAACGATTCAAAATATAACAACTATGCATATGTAGTTTTTATATGTAAACTTTAATTTCAAGTAGGGACCAATAGAAATCTATATATTCGTATGTATCACAACCGTTTTACTCAATTAGGTTCAATATTTGATAAAAATTTTTTAATATTTTATGTTTGGAATACTTTGGAAAATTAAATATATTAACAACCCATCATTGGCTAAAATAAATATAATATAATACCAAAATTTAATATAACATATTATGTATATACAATTCTTTTTTATGTTTGGTAGTGTTCTAGAAGTTGTTCGATGAAATAGGAGGTCAACTTTCCTCTATAATAAGTATGGGAAAAAATCGAATTACAGCCTTGAAAGTTACACAATTCTTCAACTAGTTCCCAAATAACAATAACAAATTAAAGTTCTTTAATTATTGCATTGTATTTATGTCGTCGTATACGATTGATTTAATTTAAAGATATAAGATATAAGTTACGATAAAACTCATATAAATATTTATACCTAAGTGAAATATTTTTTAATTTTTAAACTATAATATAAATGTGAGAAATTTAGTTATAAATGCAATATGGTTGCAATGATGTATTACTCTAAATAAATGGAGACCCATGCACTAATCGAATTTGATAGTATGACTTTATTATCCTCATGCCCTTATTTACCTTATAATAGTAGATATGGTACGCACAAGTGTACCACGTCGACTTTGCAAAGATATACCCTCAATAATCTCTTCTATAATTTGTGCGGTTTCGGTTGTTTCTTGTTCTTTACCCCTACGATAAGCCTCCTCTTTGGCCTTAATTTCAGCTTCAAGTTGCTCCATTTTTAAGTTTTCTATTTCTTCTGTGAGCACCATTGCTTTAGCTTTAATACACTTTTAATAAACACTTTCTTTTAAATTTTTAGAATATATATATTTTTAAAATAAATGACACAATTAATATAAAGAAGAAGCCTTCACAGTTAACTTTGAACTTAGATTTGATTTGAATTGATTATCCTTTAAACTTTTTATTTTTTATAAAGCCGTAAGTTTGCTGTTAATCGGTCAAGTTCAACTAAACTAATGAAGCAAAATAACGTTGAGTTTGTTAATTTATATACAAAAAATATTGTAAATGTCTACACAATTCCCGCCCCTCAGTCTAAAATCCAAAGTAGCAGTACTCCAAGATAGCAATAGCCAATGGAGATCACGAGAATTAACGCTTTTTAATAAAATTTTTGTTTAAATTTTATAAAAAAGCGCTTTCAGCGCCGAAGGTGCTAATTTCCAAATCATGTTAATACGCCAATAAAAAATAATTGATTAACCCCTTTTATTTATACGTGCCCACATAATAGAAGACACAATTATTGTTTATTCAAAATTATCTAAGTAGAAAATAGCAAATTGGAAATTAAAACATTTCGCTTTGTTAAAGTAACTGAAAATATTAAAAGTGTGAAACCGAGTTTTATTTTTGTTAAATTTCCTTGACATTAAAAAGCATCTGTTATAAGCTGTTGCAGATACTGAAATACTGAAGACACTGATACAACACACAATGAACTCTCCAAAAAATATAAATTTATTAACAGAATTTATATTTTCAAAAAGACAAAAGCGTTCACAAGTCTGTTATATTCTTAAAGACTCTAAGGGGATTATATAAATGTATAGTCTACATTGCATATATTTTATATATACTTTATTTATATTTATATGTTATATATATATTATGTATATTTTATATTTATTTTATATATATTTTATAACGCAACTTTGTTTAAGCAAAAGATTAAATAAAAGAGATACTGTATTAAAGATAATATTTCTAATAGAATTGTTTTAAAATTGCAGAAATAAAACAAAATGGTTAAAATTTTTGTCCTTGTCTTTTTTGCTATTCGAATCCGTCTAAATTTTAAATACAGACAAACTTCCATAACTCGAACTTCTATAACTCGAACCAAAAACAGTGCACCAAGGTTTTAGAGATCAAATTACATACAATTCTGCTTCCATAACTCGAACTTCTATAACTCGAATTTCGCTCTAACTCGAACAAAAAATTTTTCCCGTAACGATCGAAATATAAGGAAAGTGCATTCTATAAGTCGAATTTTTGTTTTAAGTATGAATCCATTTTGGTATTAGGGAAAGTCCCTTTTTCCAAACCAAATGTTTAATTTTTTTCTTTCTTATTTTGCTTCTTTGTGCAAATGCCAGTCGCTGGCAGCGTGGTTTAAAGTAAATAAAATAACTTCCAATGAGCTTGACTTGATAACTTATATTGAGCTTGACAATGAAATTTGGAAAGTAATGATGAGGTGGATGAAATTGTTCATTAGCTTTCCAAGAATGGAGTAGAAAACTCATTCAAAATTTTGTATTTTTATTTACAAACAAATGATACTCCAACTGATGATCACTATAAGGTTTGGAATAAATTGGAACCTTTTTTTACTGAAAATACGAAAAAAAATTAATATGCCAAACCCTGATTTCTGAATATTTTACTTTACTATAACTTTTGTGATGTATTTGATTGCAAATAAATAAATATCTTAAAATGTAATTCTAGTTTTTTTCAAAAATAAAAAAAAAAATTAGAAAATTCTTTAACTCGAAGTCTCCATAAATCGAACCTTTTCTTTGCAAAATTGGACTTCGAGTTATGGAAATTTGACTGTAGTTTCTTTTCATCATAACCGCGTCACTCTTCGCTAGTTAACATAAAATAGTTAAAATTAAAAGAAAAAAATAATTAAATATGAAAAATCTATAACATAATATATGATTATGATCAGTGCAACTTTAGGCTCCTAGAATAGTCCTAAAAAGCAAAACTTTATGTTCCTATAAAAGTCTTAAAAATAACTTCTTTAAACGCAACAAGAAACTTTTGTACATCAAAAATGAAAGTTATTTCATTTCATTTGAAAAACTTAATTAGACTTGTCGTTTAAACTGCCTTCCACAAAATTATATTAAACTAGGTTATATTATACAACAGCTGCGATTAGTAATTTTTGGTCTATCATTTAAAACTACTTTAAAATATAGACAAAAGAAGACTAGAGTATATTCGATCCTTTATATTGAAGAGCAAACTAGTACGCTAGAATAAAATATTCGACTCAAACTATACATGCAACCCACCCATTTAAAAGATTTTTAGAAGAGTCAAAAGACATAAATCATTTCTATTTAGAAGCAAAACACTCCTTCGAAGCTCCGTATTATATCAAATTAGTTATAATGCTATGAAATGTTCCTGTACGCATGAACTTTAGATATCTTTAAAAAATGCTGAAAGTTTTTTACAATTCGCCATTATTTGAGCTCAAGTGAGCTTTTTGGAACCAAA